ACTACTCTAAGACACTTTACAATATTCTACTATATGTCACTCTACTCTACTCTAAGACACTTTACAATACTCTATTTTACTCTACTCTACGACACTCTACTGTATGATGCTCTACTGTATATGTCACTCTACTCTACTCTATTGTACTCTATGACAGTCTTCTCTACCGTTTCGGTAGTAATTTTGGTCGCGGGCGTAGTCCACACCGCCCACACCGCGGACACTAAGCTATTAGCCGAGTAAACTTTGACTTCGTAGCAAGTTTTAGGCTATTCTTTATTATCCTGTGATTTTTTTAAATTTTTTTTTAAGTTTTTTTTAGTTTATGTGAAGGGTTCGTGTCAGGTTGCCTACAATATTTCTTATTCTTGTGGACATACCCCACACCGCCTACACCGCGGGCGCTTAACTAGTATATATAAATATAAGGTTGTCAGACTGAATGTACAGAGACCCCCTAAGCTGACCCCCAAACATTCAAGGGTTCGGACCCCGTCAAAAAAAATATTTTGGTACTTTTTTTTTTTTTTGAATGTTTTTTTGTGAGTTCTTTGTAATGTGAGGTATCTTTTACTTAATTTTGAAGTCATTCGGTTAACCCAAACAATAATGAAAAATCACTAATTTATTTTTTTTCTTTTTTCACTTTTTGTTCTCCCTTTATTTTATGGCATGAAAAACATTAATATTTTTTCAAATATTATTTGTAGGTTCTCTATTATGTAAGATACATAAATATAAATTTTCATGGCATTTGTGAAAGAAAAAAAAAAACTAAAAAATCACCGAAGATGGAGGTGTTAAAAACGTGCTTGCCCACTCAATAATTTTGTTCTTATTTTATTTTTTTTATTTTTATTATATTTAATTTTTATTTCAAATTTGATAAAAAACTTGGATGTAACGTTAAGGCAAATTTTGTTCAATTTATTGTTTTGCATAACATATATTTTTTTGGTTGTTTTGATTTGATTTTATTTTATTTTATTTTATTTTTTAGAAAGGGTCCTGAACGTTCGAGCGTTCGGGTTCGAGCGTTCGGCTCATCACGAACGTTAGCAACCCTGTATGTATATTTATATATTTATTTTTGTTATCTTAAATTTTATTAAAAAAATAAATTTACCCCGAGATAAACGTTGTTCAATTTATTTTTCGTTATAACTTTTTGTTTTTCGACTTTGTTTTAGTTTTCGTTTTAGGGGGAGAACTTCGAATTCGGTTGAACATGTCTCCAAGAAGGGCCGAACGTTTTGTTGTTAAGTTTCGATAGTTCAGTTAGACCCGAACGTCGACTGTTGTAGTTGATCTTAAAGTTATTTCAATTAAATAAATAAATTTTCATTCTATATTATGATACACTAAATTTAAATATGTTAAACATACGGGATCCAATAGAGAGCAAAAATATGTGTATAAACTAAAATAATTTGATAAGTTTTTAAAAAATATTTGTATTTATGAAAAAATGATAAGTTTGACGTTTAAAAAAAAATATACGCTTTGTATTACCCCTCATAGAACTCAACCTTTGACCAATTCGTGAATTACACTGTACTAGTCGTTATTTATAAATTTTATTGAGATAATAATGGTTACAAATTTTCTTACTGTATCTATCACTAATCTTTCCAGTGGTTATCTTTAAAAAATATATATATAATTTATAGATATTTTATGTATGTATATTATGAGTATACTAATATGTTATCAATTTTAAATTTTGTATGCAAAATTGTTTAATTGATTAATATTTTATGTGTTTTTTGCAACAAGCCGAAGCAAGATGAACTTTAGGTTACGTATAATTTGATAATAAATAAAATTTAAAATGCATACTTAGAGATGATTGATAAAACACATAATACTTTGATTATGAGGTACTATAAACACATTATTTGAGTTTAGTACTTCTTTAAACCACCGGTACATCCAACTATCAGTCACAAATCCTTTTCGGAAGCCGCCCGCCGCCGATTGGATTTATCTAGGACATTGAACCTCTAAAAAATTTGTAGGTCATGAGTTTTTTTTCCAGTAAGATTGGGTCCGTAATGTGGCAGCTTAAATCCAAGTGGGTAGATTCTGATTACACTATGCAATATTGTTAATTGTTTTTATATACAAATGTAACTTAGGTGCTTTCAATATAAATAAATAATCCAATATATTTGAAATTAATATATAAATAATTCATCATGCTTCAAAATATTAAAAATTAATACATAAAATAAAAATAATTAAATGCTTGACTTCTATGTAATATTTAATATCACTAGCTTTAACACAAGGTTTGGTCACACGTTACATGAATAATGCTTTAAAAAAATATTTATCAATATGAAAGACTTGAATCTTAGAACTATTTCTTAATCTAAAAATTTGAGTATTGCTACAATAAAACACAAATTGAAGTCTTGATAGATGCAAGCATTTTGGTCTACCCTCTATAAAAATATTGTTTGTCAAGTGTCATTTTGTTATCACAAATAAATGTAATGCCTAAAAGACTGTCTCTCTCATGAAGACATGCTTAAATTGTCGTTCCTTTGGTTCTTTATAAGGATACTATTCACAAAATTTACATAGGGATTATAAGTTAACTTTGGGCGTGTGGTTACAAGTCGTCTAAATGGTCACCTTGTTTCTTTCGAGGAAAAATTGCCAAAATGCGAGGTCCAAATTACATAAATTAAGAGTTATTCATCATTGACCTAACTTTGTGTCCCTCGCATGTCACATCAGGATATGCATATCGCATGTAATTCAGTTCACACCACCTTCACATTGACACTCCTAAGTAGTGCAGGGCCTAAAAAAGAGTCAAAGCAGCTGGGGCAATGTCACACCAAACTATAAGGATTACGGGGCTGATCCTACGTACAACTTTTAACTAAAAATCGAAAAAGTCCCTTAGAAGTTGGGTCCGCGAAGTATGGTCTGTAAAAACTTTGTCGGATCACATTGACCCAGCGGTTGGCGGATTTTTCCAATTGTATAGGCGATATTCGGTGACCCATCTCGGTCCTGCGGAGCATTTTTTTTTTTTTTTTTTAAATCACGGAGCTTTCAACCAATAGTCAGACTACTAAAGCTAAAAAATTAAAAGAAAAACTCGACGAATTCTTAGGGAGAAGTTTAAGGGGTCACCGGCTTCTGATACCGACCGTGGGGACATGCACACCAGAACAAAAGCAACAACCGATTTGTTTTCCAAAACCTTTGCACCTCGTACCATGTAGGATCCTCGTTTTTCCCAAAAAGTTCCTCTTCTAAGCATTGTGGGATCAGACCCTAAGTTGTGGATGAGTATATGACAGGCGTTTGTTTCATCTTAGCCATTCTGTGGTAGGGCCGTTTTTTTTTTTTTTTTTTTTTTTTTTTTTTTCTTAAACCATCAGTACCCCCGCCAGTGTTGGGAAATTACGTTGTCCTGGCCAATACCCGAAGTTTTCGGGGGTCGGACACAGGGCCAGCAATGCCCTAAAAATCGTAGTTTTAGTTTGCCCATGCACGAAAGGAAAAGGAAAAAAAAAAAAACTTTTTACTGCAATGATGTTGGGCAGGGTAGTCTAGGAGACCGTGCTCACAGTTTAAAATGCATCTTATAACAAAGACGACCACATTCCGAAACTTGTTTTCTTTTTTTTATTTTTCTTTTGTTTGTTATGTGTCCCCTGCCAACGAGGTAGGGCGGAATCCGTGATCTGCTCTAGCTGTGTTTCCTCAAATGATTGTAACCCTGATGTATCCAGCCGTTTTCAAGGCCGAATCTGTGTTTCCATTTTTTTTTCTTGTTTTTTTTTTCTGGAATCTGACAATCTGAATCCGTGATCTTCTCGAGCTGTGTTCCCTTAGAGGATTGTAACCCTGCTCACACGAGCGCTTACGAGAATGTATCTTGCCATTTTTACGATCGAATCCGTGTTCCTTTTTTTTTTTTTTTTTTTTGAGTTTCTGGAATCTGACAACCTGGCCACGGGGCTGAGATGCCCTCACTGAGGGCACACTCACACTTACACCTGTCTCTTATACACATCTAGATGTGTATAAGAGACAGCTGCTAAGCGAATCTGGCCAAGTAGACGGTCAGG